AAAAAACCCCAAAACATTGGTAAAGCGGGACAAAAGTGGGCCACCATTGATAAAACTCATATCCTGGCGAAAGAGCCACATGGCAGCTGAAAACCATATACCCTAGCTTGTCGTGCATTCTTTAAAAAAATCGGGACTTTAAAAACGCCGAAGGGACACGGGAAAAATTGTTAGAAATCCGGACTGTCCTGCCAAAAGCGGGACGTCTGGTCACCTTAACCTTGAGACTTGGCCCCTGAGCTGAAAATGAGGGGAACATGCCTCCTCTCTGAGGAGCACTCCTCTGCCCTCCCCCCCAACAAATCCCAGGGCCTGACCTATAGCCGTTGTTCAACAAATATCAACGGCTCTCTTCTTTGCCCTGGAAGCAGGGAGGGGCTAGGCTCCACGTGGGGCCAGGATGGGCTAGTGGTGAGTCAAGGAAAGGAAGCCCAGAAGTTCCGAGAAGACTGTTCTTGTTAGCAAGGCCATCCCCTTGGCTTTCGATGCCTCAGACACCGAAGGGTAGAGGCACCTGTGAATTTTCACCGTGGGGCCAATGAGGGGCCGGGGCCTGGCTGCCCCACACCCCTACTCTTTCCTGGTCCCGCCCTGGAGGGCAGGCCACAAGCTTCCTGAATGCCTGACTGGCCTCTCCCTATCTTACTGCCTGTGGGCTGCCCTGCTCTGGAAAATGTTTATCAAACACCTCTCAGCAGGTAAGCACCACTGCCTTCTTCTGAGGGCCCACACTCACCTGTTGAGGCTCCCAGACCCCTGTCAAGTTGGCAGGACTCCTGTGCCAGCGTCTCTGACGACAGAAGAGAGTTCCTGCTCCCTTTCCAAGTGGCCTGGACCTTTCCAGTAAGATCCCGCCCTCTGCTTCCCTGGGTAAACCTTGCCAGAAACCTCACACCACTCCTGGGCGTTGGGGCACTTCTGCTGGGCCTGCCACTCAGTAGGGGTTCTCTTTCTGTCCTCCTGAAACCCCACCACTGGGGTCTGTCCTCTGCCCACATTTGTGAAGCCTGACCCTGACCATCAGGCTGGGTCCTGGGGGCTGCAGGCTCCTGGCCCGCAGAGGGTGGGTGGTTGGGTTCTTCCTTTCAAAGGTGCCAGATGGCCCCAGGCCCCTCCTGCTTCAAGGCGGGCTACCTGGAAGATGAAGTGCTCATCAAACTGTGGGTCGGTGGTTCTGCATTTGGTCTTAGACTGCAGGAATTGCCGTTCGTCAGGCAGCAGATGGAGCTTCACCAGGAGGCTGCAGGTATCGGAGGGGGCTTGCAGCTTCTGGGCCTTGATCAGGCCCACCAGCAAGCGCTCCGCCTTCTGCTGGTACTCCACTGAGAACCACAGCCGCCCCAGGCAGCCCTCAGGGAACTCAATCTCACAATCGTCCTCAGGGCACTTATACAGTTCTGGGTTGATGGTGCCCACCACACAGGCAACCCCTGCAAGAGAAAAACTGGGAGGTCCAGCAGACCAGGGGAGGGCAGGGGTGGGGACAGGGGCAATTTCCAAGCATGCCCGCTTCTTGGCCATCCCTCTCTTGAACAAGCCTTCTCAGAGCAGCATTCCTCACCCCCATCCTCTTCTCCAGACTAAACTCCATCCACCTTCTCTGGCACGCTTTTTTCTCAGTGCGAAGACAACATATACATGCTCGCTTGTCCATCCCTGAGATCCCACACAGAGGGCGCATTGTTCATTCCACACTAGCTACACCCTGCTCCCCCCAGGAGGAGTGACCATCTCCAGAGGTCAGGGCCTTCTTAGTACCAGGCCTGGCCCCTTTCCATGGTGTCCTGAAAATATTTCAGTGGTTAAATGGTGCCTCTTGACATTCTTCCCCTTGACATTCAAAAGGCAAGCTTAGTATTGGGTGGTTTGGGGGAGGTCTCTGAGGTTTGGGGAGCAAAGAGATGAGCAGAAAGTTTCCAGATCCTATCATTTCGGCTCTTCTTCCCCCACCAACGCACTATCCACACAAGGCTTCAAACAGGGTCTCCAAGGTCAGTCACGGCCAGTGAAGAGAAACGGGCAGACCCAAAGCTGTAAAATGTGGCATATTGGAATGATAACCAGAATGGGAACAGTGATAGGTCGATGCCCTGCTACAAACATCATCTCCGTCTTAGGAAACAAGGGTAGCATGCACATTGCATTGCAATCACATCTCGTAATCGGCAGAGTCAGAAACAATGGTGCCCCGCTCAAAGATAGAGGTCAACATGCTGCTTCAAAAGTGGGTTGCTTGTCACAGTCCTAGCAAGGATCCAGTCTCCTGCATCAGGATACGGACCTGGTTCACTACACTTTGTCTGAGTTTCCCATTCGAGGATGTTGACCAGCAGTTTCCCCCATTTCACTTATTGTTCCATTACACCAGTTTATAAATTCAAGTCTCTTTGGACTTCACTGCATCAGTCATGATTAGGCTAGTTCACAGCCTTGCATCCATGGAAAAAGACCCAGCAGAGGTTCTGCCCCAAGACACAGCTGGGTTACTTCTGTGAGCACCTTGGACAGGTGCTGTTTAATCTTCCTGAGCCCCATTTATGAATATGTGGAAAGGGGCAATGGGCCTTCCCAAGTCACGGTGAGACCCAGCTCCAAAGCGGCACCTGTGGTCATATCTGGCCTGGGCAGGGGGACATGAGGCACTGAGTACACTGAAGTCCTCGGGCTGGTTTGGGCCCCTAGGTGCAGCCAGGCTCTATTCTGGAGCCAGGTCTGGTGAAAGCGCTGAGGTCCACCCTGGCCCCCAAGCCCCCTGAGCTCTGGACAATCGTTGGCAGGAGTACTCACCGAGGTTGCTGCAGGAAGAGTGGGCCAGGAGCTCTGAGGCTGGGCTGGGGGCTCTTGGGGCCTTGACCCATTCTCCATTGCTCAGAGGCACCCAGTCTTGGCCGTGGAGGGAAGGTGGCACTACAAATGGCACACCTGGTGGCCTGTGCAGAGGTAAGGCAATTGCATGTAGATCACCAGCAAATGGTGCCCCCAATCCAGAGGCAGGTGAGGGCTAGGGGCTGGAGAAGGAAAAGCCAGCAGGGGCCAGAAACAGGCTCACACCAGCCTCCCTCAAGCTCCTGTCTCTCACACAGCCAGAATCTCTGGAGTCAGTCTGTCTGAGTTCAAATCCCTGGTTGGCCATTGACTGGTTTGTACTATCTGGGCCTCAGTTTCCTCGACTGGAAAGCGGGCCTTGCTTTGGTGGCGGTGAGGATCCCGGGGGTAGGGGGGGGGGCGCGGGTTCTTTGTGATAACCACAAGCATGGTGCTGGGGCACAGAAGGCCTGCAGGGTGCCTCCCACCCAGTCCTGAGGAAAACCCGATAGAGAGGCCCTTGAAAGCTGCTTGACCCCATTTCCTGCCTCACCTGCTCTGAGGGCTCCTGTCCCCATCTCCGCTGGAGACAGCTGTGCTGGCAGTGTCTGTGGTGCCGGGCAGCTCCTCATAGGCCAAGGTGGCACAAAGCTTCTTCCAGAAACAGCAGGTCACCCCAATCATCAGGAGCAGCAGCAGCCCCCCAATGATTCCCCCGATCACCAGGGCCACCTGTTCTGGGGACAAAGAACCACCAGAAGGGTGACATCTGGCAATAACCACTCCCTCCCAAGATTGGCCTCCAGGAGCTGGATTTGGGCAACAACCCCAGCCCAGGGTCGGACCTCGGAGCCTCCTACAGGCGGTGCCCTATCTGTCCGTGTACTGCGGGCTGGGCCTCTCTCCGAACTTGGAGGGGCAAAACCGCTTCCCTTGGGGGATTAGTGCTCTGGGCTTTGTCCTAGAAATTGGGAGCCCCAGACTTGGATTTCTGGCTGAAAGGAAGCATTTCCTTGTGCTTGTGCTTGGAAAACTAAACCTTCCCTCACCAGAATCTCCGTGCTTGCTGGCTCCGGCTTAAGCTCCAGGGTAATGGAGGCCCGGGTGTGGCCACCATGCGGGCAGCACAATAAGCCCAGGAGAGAATGAAGCCCCGAATTTGTTTTCAGATCCCTGTTTTCTGGGGTCCTGGGACCCCAGGAAAGCCCTCCCTGGCTCACGCTTGAATTCTGTTAACTTTCTCCAGCGCCCCTCCCCAATCCTCTTAAGGTGGACCCATGCCTGGGAGAGGCGGTGTGGACTGCGAGAAGGAGACAGTGGGACCTGCTATCTGCATTCATACCCCCACATTATGGGTATCTGGGGCGCTCCCAGGGTGCTTGCTCAAACGCCCTGCCCTGCCCTGCCTTCCCTGCCCCACCCCAGGCCAAGAAGGACCCTCCTTCAGGTTCAAGGGGATCTCCCTGCATTGCAGCCTGCCAGATCCTAGTGGGGGGCGAGTGGTGCACAGGCCGGACCCCCATGCTGCCTGCACGAA